CCGAGTGTGTGGTAGCACGCACGCACGCACGCACGCACGCACGCACACACACACACACACACATTGTACAATGTATATCAGGAGTAGATAATAGGGAATAGATAATTTCCTATTATCTACTCCTGATGTATATATAATATATTGTTCTCAGTCCTGGACGTACGTCCAAAACTTACCGTGTAAACAGATTCACTGTTGCGTCCTAGACGTACATGCAAATCTGATGAGTCCTGGACGTACGTCTAGGACGCATCGTGTAAATAGGCCTTAAGAGTAAGAGTCATCGTGTTGAGTGAATTGAATTCGAACGCATGTCAACTACTTACCAAACTTTTAGAAACGTTTCCTCGCTTTGTCACATTTTTGCTGTGGTTTTCGTTAGCCACCCGCATGCGCTGTTTAGCTGCCATAATGAGGAATTTCTAGCGTTCACCAATTAGTAAATAAGTGTAGAAATATGTTGAATACGGTGAAAGTTTACTCAAGACGTCAGTCGTGTTACAGTGTAGACGTAGTCGTGTAGAATTTTACACAGGGAGATATAGTGATACGCTAGAGGGCGCGATCAGCGCTAAAAAATTGCGGTTGTCAAATCTACGATTAGGAATGATTGTGCAAGATAATATGAAAATATTATATTTTATTAATAATATAGGATTAAGGATGGCGATCTTAGGTAGTGAATTATGCACAATCCTAATTTTAATTAAAATCCCGCAACGCCTCTCAAACTAACCGGGGTGAGTAAAGCTCTGGCTAAAGTAACGCGGGCTATAGACTAGTACTAGTAGTAGTAGTACTAGTAGTATACTAGTACTACGAGGACTGGGAGTAGCTCTAGTAACTATGGCCCAAGGATAGAGAACATGGGTCCCAATAAAACCAATGTGCCTAACCCTAACCCTAACCCTAATTCTAACCCTAACCCTAACCCTAATTCTAACCCTAACCCTAACCCTAAACCTAACCCTAACCCTGACAATAACCCTAACCATAACCCTAACCTATTATATTGATATAATATTATATTTATATTGATGTAAATGACATTGGTTTTATTGGGACCCATGTTCTCTATCCTTGAACCGTATAAACGTACGCGCCATCTCGTGGCAACTTTCATAACGATCCCAACGAACATTCTTTTGAGAAGGTTCCTGATACCATCCCTGTGCATTCCACTGTTTCGACGTGTATGTGAACACATTTGGGACTAACAGGGTTTACTAGAATCCCTCCACTCCACCACAGAGTCACCGCAGTAGACGTTAGATGAGCGCTGTCGCTATGCGGCACTTGTTTCGTCCTTGCAATTAAAAGATAACTCCAGCTTTCAGTATTATTTACATTTAAATTGGACTTGAGTTAGTTTACATATCAATTTATAGTGTGTGCTATCAATTACATGTATTTTTAAAAGCTGGTGTTATGATACTTGTTGGGCATAAAACCATAAAATTGACGCATGTGGAAATGATATTAGTTGAACTAATAGTCTGTTTTATCACCAAGCACTAGATGGTGGCAATTTCCTATCATAAAAACTAAACTATTGAAGAATCTCGGCTTTATTAGGAATGATTTCATCTACTTTTGAGTAGAGGTCAAAGCTTACTATAATGTATCACTTGTGATACAAGCAGTAGTATCAGTTGATAATGTAGGCCATCATCATTGCATCAGGCAGCAAGGGTCATCCTAATTATAATCCATCAGTAATTTTAAAATTAACGTTTTTTGTTACGTTTTATTGATACGTAAAAGTAAGTCTTTATATTGTATCGTATCATAGTTAGACCTCAACTTTCCAGAAAGCAAAGGTTGCCCTTTCTGCATTGTGCTTGTGATACAGGACAACACCTGTTTAAATATCATGCAGTGATGTACTATGCATGTTTAATATTAAAGTATTAGCTGAGATGCCTTACTGCGCACATTTAATATCATGTAGTTTACCTGTTATGCACAACTACATGTATTTCATATAAAGCAGCTTACTTGAGATGCTTACGTGAACGGAATTTTATGGGGTTTCTGCCAGATACGCATTTACATGTGCATTCAATATCATGTGGTGTACCTGTGTTGTGCACAACTACGTCATAACATAAACCTTACATATTTTATGCTCATCCACATGAATTGAATATCATATAGTGTTTACCCCCGCTACGCTGCTACGCGCATTTGATAATTAATGCGATTTATCTGTAATGCATGACGCAGGCACCTGCCTATCAAACGCTAGGGCGTTTCGCTAGAATGATCTTTAATTACAGGGTTGACTGTACTCGCGTCTAATATGTTTCCTCTGTTAAGAGCTTCACCCAGCACGCTCACCTGCGTTAATTTAATATCAGAATATTCGTGAATTCAGAAGTCGCGTGATTCGCGTCCGCAGCGACGTGACGGCGTATACGGCGTATACGGCGTATCTAACGGTGTATGTGTCCGCGTGTGTGCTTGCAGGACCTGGTGAAGAGTCACCTGATGGTCGCCGTGCGCGAGGAGGTGGAGATCCTTAAGGAGAACATCGTCTCGCTGAACGAGCGCATCAGCCAGCTTGAGTACGAGAACAACGTGCTGCGCAACACTGCCACGCCCGAGGTACTCGCACAGCTGCAGCAGCCGAGCCCCACGGCGCCCTCTACGAAGAACACGTAGCGGCGCGGCGCGGCGACGACGACGCCGCCGCTGCCCATCGACCGTCCCGCCCGCTTCCACGAGCGGGGTTGTCTCGGCTACATGTGATACGTTTGTTGTGCGCGCTCGCAACTTCATGGCCTCCTGAAATGCTCACACTTGTCACCCCGCCGCGGTGGGGTGGCCGCGCGCGCACTTTTCTCCGGAGAGTGGTTTTTCGGGATTTCGGGCAGGAAAGTTTTTACATTTGTTGTGCGCGCGCGCGTGGGTTGCATTCGTGTGCATGCGTGTGTTATTTGTGCCTGGTGCTGACTGGCGCAAAGCTGCTCACTGTCACAAGCGGAGGAGCCACCTTTAGATAGATGAAGGAAATACCGGGCAGGGTTAACGTTGGCATGGTAAACCATAACCAAGATCCTCCTGCTAATGGAGTACACGGTGGTGCCATCTAGTGGACATTTAAGCTGCAATTAAGTAGTATATGACATTTGTTCACTTGCATGCAACCTTACTGCTTTGATTTTGCGACTGGTCGTAGTCAAGCGAGTTGCATTAAAAGTAGGTGATCTTGATAACAGTATATTAATGACAATAATAATAATAATAAATCATTAATCGCCGAATTCAATCTCGGCGCTCTGGCATTCTACAAGCATCGATAATCGGATGGCTGTAACTTGTGTAATCCTGCCTACCTGTGCAGTGTGGAGTGTGCCTAGCATTAGTGGGCATAGATATCGTTTGGATATGGGTGCATCACGTAAATGACCAGCTTTCTACTGTACGCATATCTGCTAAGCCTTTTTAATCTAACTAAATAAGGCTACGAAACAAAACATTTATGCATGAGCCAGGAGGAATGTGTAGCTATATATAGAGAATCATTAAAAGTGCAAGCAAGTGAGATGAATGCTTCAATCTGGTTTCGGTCACTAGTGAGTCGATTAATCCTGCTTCCTCATTCAATATACTAACAGTCTGTATCTTAAAAGAAGGCGTGGTAAAGCCTTTGTGCCATGTATTTGCCGTATTCTTTCCGGCTATGCTCGTTGCAGTTTATACTCTGCAATGCTTCAGTTATTAATGAAACTCTTGGTTAGTTGAAAGTTGTTGGTTATTTTGAAGTTGTCTTTGAATTATAATTTAGCGTCTGTGTATTTTGTTAGAAGGTGATGTGTATTGTCTTGCCACGAGATACCTTCAAACGGTGAATGAAGATTCCAGTCTATGATGTACATACCGTTTCGTGAAAGATTCGCAACAAAGATTTTGTTCTGTGACAGTATTATAATTTTTATTACACGATGTCTGAATTTATAGTGTCGGTCTGACGTGATGTCAAGTCACAAGATGCTGACAGACTATGCTGCTGCCAAAAGGCAGTGTGGTGGAGAGGCTGAGAAGCATGCAGCCTGTGAGAGTAGTGCGAGAATGGTGACACAGAGATAGCAAGATTGTGTGTTCTTCACTCGTGATTACTTCGGCTGTCAACGTAGTGTGAGCTCTCAGTGGCAGTGAGATGTAGCTGTGTCTGGGAGCAAATGACCAGTGTGGCTGTATAATCTCCATCATTATCGATCGGTTTCGGGTAATTATTATTACTTGGTTTATGTATTTCAGGAGTTTCAGGTTTGATAGCTGCATTCATTCTCAAGCTTGTGCCTTGTTCGTGCGGTACGTTATGTCTCCTCTGATTGAGCGCCACCCTAATAATATATTACACGTGTAATTAAGCATTAATAATAAGCTATGGATAAGTAACAAGAAAGACGGAGAAACAATGAGACAGAGTGACAGCCAAGCAAACTTAATGGAGAATGATTCATTCAATACCTACATAAATATGTGGCGATGTTTTTGAGACTGGTGGCATGTTGTTACTTGTAACTCACGTGTGTATATACGGTAGGCATTGTATAAAGAGCGTAGACTGCTGTTGGACAATTGCCGCTCATTGTAACATGTCCAGACGAGAGACTATTTTATGCAAAGTGCGGTAATTTGGCTTAAGATGTTTAAATTTTAAAAATACAATGTGCTATTTGTGATTAAAGCCAATCATCAATCAAGTTGCACAGTTTGGATTTTTCTAATTCAGCATTTTGTTTGAGCATTTAAAAGCTGCATGACACGAGAACAACATGCGTATAAACAAGAATGCTTGCATAAAATTTATTTGAAAATATATACCACAAACACATACCAGACTCGAACACAAGGTGGATGTGCTTCTGCCAAGCCCAGATTAGACTCCGCTAAAAATGTAACACTAGTAGACACAACAAATAACTATTTTACCAGCTGGTCATCAACAAAAATATTATCCTGTCACCTACAGTCACCATAGCTCGTAACATTTTTATCAACTTTTTACCTGACTGCTGTCACGACGATAATTTACATGAAATTACCCCAAATGTATTAAGTATTGCATTCTTTCAAATCTAGAGTATTTTTCTGGTACTATTAATGGCCAGTTTCTTGCTCAGCAAATTTGTGCGATGACCTCAAAACTTGCAAGAATTTTCTTCTGACTTTACTGTAGGCTTTCCACATAACTTTTTTTTTACTTTTTCCAATCGTTTAGTAACACGCTCGGGGGGGGGGGAATAGCTTGACACCACCAGCTTGCCGCTATGTAACTGTTGCAGTGAGTTCAGGGTGGACGCCACACTGACATGCACGCGGCAACAGCTGTTTCATGAAAAGTAATCGGTTTGATCTGCACCTATTCTCTGCTGACTATAGAAGACAGCCAAACTCTGTTCTACTACCTCTTACAGTCATCAAGTAGAATAGTCAGTAGAACGTCTCAAAAGACACAGCAGAAGAGCTATTCCACTTTAGAGTCCTCCGAAAACTTGAATGCAAATCAAACCGGCTTTAGGTTTTCCATGTTCCATGTCATGACAATTAAAAACGACACCTAACCTGAATGGATCATCATCCTAAACACTGTCACAGCAGCCACCAATTCGGCTGTGCCAGCATGTTACCGGAATACATCGGTATATTACACATCCACAATTGGAATTCTATCACTATGCTAGCATTCTATCAATCTTGCGACTCGGAATGCAATGCCCTCTATCTCAACGGTGGTAGTCACATTAACGTGGCCACGCACCTGGTGAAGTTCCACCATCACTCCCGCCTCTGTTACTTGACTGCACATGGTAACACGAGTGACAACATCAATGTTCAATGGGAATTCCACCATGCAGCATTTCACGGCAGCTGTGGCACTGTACACGCACAAAATCATTTTGGCATAGTGCATATAACAATACTAACAATCTTATAAAATCATCTGACGTCACATGCAATATATTTACATTCAATTTTGCGCGTCGTATACGAAAGCTGCTGTCGTTCCCACATCGGTAATAGCACGAGAGCCACCACTTAAAATGTAACAAGTAAATATAAAATGAATTGACAACACACTGGAGACGTGTGGTTAGGTTATCACTGCAGTCACTATGCCACTATGTACAGCATATTAATGTCATCTGCAACTGTCATCTGGTACAGAGGTTGGTTCATAGACACACGGTGCGAACACAGACATGGTCAAGAAGCTGTTCCTCACATTAAGAGTTTATGTGAGGTATAGGGCGCGATGTAAGGCTGGACGCAACACGAACTTAATATTCAATATGAGACCGTTTCAACAAAGCCCGAGATTGAATCTGCAAGCTTTTCAAGACTGTGTAGTATCTATTGTCTGAATTTCTTATCCTCAACCATGTTTTAAAGATCTTAATGATCATATCAACTCTAAAGATCAACCTAGGCCATACAAACAAAGAGTAAACCAAGCCATCACGTCAATAAATGTTGCAGTGGCTATCTCAAACCCAGGCACGATTAGTTCATACCTTTTCAGTTGCCCTTCCTTCAGTTCAATTGGAAAGAAAGGTTTAATATACATTATTTCATGACGACACCCAACCCGTGCTACACAAAACAGAGACAGTGGTTTCACACTGGGAAATTTTTTCACATATATATGCTTGTTCCAACAGTAAGCACATTATTACCAGATCACCCTTCCATGACAGAATGTAAACCAGGAAAAATATGCTATCAAAACGCACTCGATAGCATGGTGGAATGTATATCTACACAATTTTATCACACTTTTACTACAGACAAGAGGCAGTGCAGATTTTCAGCAGAACCCTCTGCTGCAAATCTGCACTTTGAAATTATCAGAGATTTAGGTGAAATGTTGCCTGTACTTGAGAGCTGCTGGGGATTTGACCACTTCGATGTGGCCATATTCATGTAGGCTGGAATTTAATTCGAGGAAGCAAGAAGCGCTTGATTCCAAGTCTTGGGGCCAAGTGACACAGCAGGATCCTACGACATCCTAATAGATTGGATGATCTGAAAGATTGCTGCAACATAAAATTCACTTATTAGAAATAATACAACAATGTAGGGTAGAATATAAATACAGTTTTATCTGTCACCCAAAAGTAGAATGTATGCTTATTCTTAATGAGCTTCAAAGGTGGAAATTCAAAATCACCACAGTGCTGTACTATACAATGTCTGCTGTAACAACACTCTACCAATATAGCGGTTGGACCAAATGAAACCATATCTAATGAGAAGGCACATAACAGTGACAAGCAGTAAGGAACAACAAGGCAATACTGAACCACACAACAGATAAGAGTATAACAATAACACCACTCGAGTCGTAGGAATGCACAGATCGCTATATGCTATGATGGTATGTTATGAATGTACTAGTCTTACCTGATCCAAGTACGACAAACAGGAACAAACCGAGCAACCATGGACCGACAGGATATTTCTCCTCACTTGGTTTCTGATAAATCAAAGGATAAGTATAAAACACAGCAAATGGCAGGTAGAAGTGCATGCATTACACCTGATAAGATCAAAGTGGCTACATCTGCTGCATGGAATAAAATTCCCAACACCCTGAACAACATATACGCAGTTATCAAAAATTGGCAGCACTTCAAGCTGCTTTCTTTAGTTATAAAATGTGAATGAAGGTATTAGATTCTTTACACTCAAACTGCTAGAATGCATCTGAACATATATGCCTTTTTACAGATTGTAGGTACAATGATCTGGATCCTACGTTAGGAAGCACCCAATACACATTGTCATTATCATCATCATCATATCCCAAATTCAAGCTAATCCTAACACGATCAGTGTATTGGTTTGATCATCCTACTCAACTGTTCTGTTCAATCAACTTTATTATACACTGTGTATTGCGCAAGGGATACAAATATGTAACACTAAGACTATTTAGCAGCAATGACGAAGTCGTGGTTTTCACGGCTAATGACGTCGCTAGTACTTGTAAATATATGAATTCTTGTGAGTTGAAAGGGAATTAAAATTGAGTCGATATTGTTATTTGCATATTGCGCATATGAGCTTCACGAATGCTACAAAATAATACTATTATTAGTATTATTACTAATAGTAAATAGTAATAATAGTAATATAGTAATATTTAATATAGTATATATAGTAATTATAGTAATATAGTATATATAGTAATATTAGTAATAATAGTAAATTAGTAAATAATAGTAATACTAATTAAAGAGTAAGACTAAAAGCCTTATTTACACGATGCGTTTTTGTGACGTACGCCAGACGCATTACTCAAAACGCACGCGTGTAAACTATGCGGTACGACACAATTTATGACCGTTGCGATATCGGATGCACAGGACGCATGTTCTAATTTCATTCGACATCGTAACCAGGACGCAAGACCCGACCAATCAGGTGGGTGAGATTGTCACGTGCTTAAGGCTCTTTGCGATGACAGTGTTGTATCGAGTGAACCGTCACTGTGGAATGTCCACTCAGACAACTACGATAAAAGTAGTGTGTGTGTTGTTGTTGCGCGGCGCGTGTGCGCGTGTGTGTGTGTGTGTGTGTGTGTGTGCGCGTGTGCGTGTGCGTGTGCGTGCGTGCGTGTGTGTGTGTCTGTGTGTGGTGTCTGTGTGTGCGCGCGCGCGTGTGTGTGCGGTGTTGCGTGTGCGCGCGCCAGCGTGTCGTGTGTGACGTGGCGTGCGTGTACCGTGCGTGGCGTGTGCGCGGCCGGTGTGTGTTGTGTGTGCGTGTCTCTGTGTGTGTTGTGTCTGTGTGTTGCCGCAGCGCGGCGGTGTTGTGTGTGTGTGTGTGGCGACGGTGGTGCGCCGGGCGCGCGTGTGCGTGTGTGTGTGTGTGACTGTGTGCATGGACACAACCGCTGTCAAATGTCGGCAGCAGCACGCGCTCTCTCGTTACGTGGCGTACGCACGCACGCACGCACGCACGGCACACACACGCACACACACAACATGCGATGTCACGAAGTGCGTGCGCGTCTGCCTGACTGCGTCTGTCCGAAGTGTGTGGTAGCACACACGCACGCACCGCACGCACGCACGCACGCACGCACGCACACACACACATTGTACAATGTATATCAGGAGTAGATAATATGGAATAGATAATTCTATTATCTACTCCTGATGTATATTATAATATATTGTTCTCAGTCCTGGACGTACGTCCAAACTTACCGTGTAAACAGATTCACCGTTGCGTCCATAGACGTACGTGCAAATCTGATGAGTCCTGGGCGTACGTCTAGGACGCATCGTGTAAATAGGCCTTAAGAGTAAGAGTCATCGTGTGAGTGAATTGAATCGAACGCATGTCAACTACTTACCAAACTTTTAAGAAACGTTTGCCTCGCGTTTGTCACATTTTGCTGGTGGTTTCGTTAGCCACCCGCATGCGCTGTTTAGCTGCCATAATGAGGAATTTCTAGCGTCCACACAATTAGTAAATAAGTGTAGAAATATGTTATGAATACGGTGAAAGTTTACTCAAGACGGTCAGTAGTGTTACAGTGTAGACGTAGTCGTGTAGAACTTTTTACACAGGAGATATAGTGATACGCTAGAGGGCGCGATCAGCGCTAAAAATTGGCGGTTGTCAAATCTACGATTAGAATGATTGTGCAAGATAATATGAAATATTATATTTTATTAATAATATAGGATTAAGG